CCACCTTTATTCACTTAATGCACTAAGAAATTGCAAAGAGCCCAAGGAAGATGCATCAGGGGTATTGGGGTGCAGAATTTAATGGGGGTGTATCCCAGGAACCCCAATCCCCTTCTCTCAGTCGTTGAATATTAGCTGCAGTCAGAATTATGTCATACATCGCCCTGAGGCGGTACTGCAGACCCTCTGTGTTGTACCTGTCGTAACCCCAGACATTTAAATTATTATTATTATTTTACACATTTATGTTTTTGATACAGTAATAAAGGCTTTTTTTACAACAGCAGTTTGAAAGGTACCGCTGCTCAGTGGTAATGATATGCAGTTTATATATATATATTTCTTTTTCTCTGAGAAACCAAAGGAAATTTGTCCCTGGCGTTTTTGTAACTTTTTTAAAATAAAATAAGACAAAAACCAGTGTGTGATTGAGTCTGCCTGCACGAGTGCGAGTAATTGTGTCTGTATGAGTGTGAGTGAGAGTGTGTCTCTGTATGAGTGTGAGTGTGTAACTGTGTGAGTGAGTGTATCTGTACTCATAGAGTACAGATGCTTGAACAGTTCAAAATAGAAATAGACGTGAAGTCTGTATTTACAGACTATATCGAAATGCAAGAACATGAAAGCTGGGCGGGAACTGATCTTTATTTACCTTGTTTAACCCCTGACGCTGTTAGTGATATGGTATGTGTACTGTCGTTTGTATTGTATTTGTTTTTGTTATTAAAATCAAAAAAGCAAACGTAGGCGTAGCCCTGCTGCGTCCCAGCACCCGGGCCCCGGGTTCGATTCCAGGCTGAGTCTGCCGGGCTGGATTAAGGTCCTAGGTGGCCTGGGGCTCCTCTTGTTTCCTAGCCCCTTGGATGGGTGCGTTTTTATGGGGTGTATCGATTCCCGCGTGTGGATGGGTGATCAAAATAATCTTGAGTCGTTTTTTTGGGGATGTGCATCCATTCATTTTCTGGTTTGGATGGTCCATTATCTAAACTCATTGTGACCAGAGATAGTTTCCATAGTCAGTTCGTATGAATAATCGACAAAGCATGAGATAATGTCATTGAGAATAAACTCATCATTACAGAAAGGCTTGGTAAGTCATGAGGGACAGATAACATATTAATAATAATTCCTTACACTTATACAGCGCTTTTCTGGACACTCCACTCAAAGCTCTTTACAAGTAATGGGGAATCCCACTACTACCACCAGTGTGCAGTCCCACCTGGATGATGCTCCAGTACTCTCACCACACACCAGCTCTCAGTGGAGAGGTGAACAGAGTGATGAAGCCAGTTCAGAGAGGGGGATTATTAGGAGGCCACGATTGTATTGCTTATCACCCTGTCTTAGAGATTGCAAGGTTTTTCGGATCATTATATCATTGTGGTTTAGTAGATTTATTTTTTCTTCTTCCAAGTGCTTGCCGAAGGTCAATGCACTGCTCTTTTTTTGATGTGGCGTGTGTCATGATGATTAGTATTTACAAAGTTTATTCTATGTAAGTGACTTTCATGCTACATCATGTCAAGGTGCTGCACACTGACGCAAACCAAAGAGACAGGTGAGCACACAGCAAAAATACTAAATCAGACAGAACTCTAAGTTTAAGAGTATTAAAGGAGTTTTAAGAGAGGGTTTGTAAGTAATGCCTGACTAGTTCTGCTGCATGCTGGGAGATCATTTCACAGTCTTGGACAAAGAGAATGGAAAGCATGCACTCCCAGGGTCTCCCAGTCACCAGCACCTCCTGATGGGGAACTGAGAGAAGGTCACTGAGCCCAAAGGGAGCGTGGATGTACGAGGTTAACAGTTTCCTGATGAAGTCAGCAGCCAGCCCATCAGAGTCCATCAAGGTGATCTGCAGTGTTTTGAATCTTATTCCAAGATCCACGGGCAGACAGTGCAATGCAGCTAAGACATGTGTGACGTGCATGTGTGCTTAAGCTTCTAATTAAGATCCAGATCCAGTCGAATCGCTGCCATATCATGAAGAGGTGACACGGTTAATTCCAGACCTTACTGTGTACGACTAGCACACCACGCACGCAAGTGCTGATGGGTAAAAGGAAGCGGAATGGCCTGCATCTCGTAACATCACTCCTCCTCCAGCAGTCCAGATGAGCCCGGCGGAACCTGGTTTATCCCACCCTCCTCCCTGGTGTTAAACTGTAGGACTGACTGAGCTAGCACTGGGCTGCAGAATAAGTAGGAGACCTTAAGTGCACATGGTGAAGAACTGCAGATGTCTTCGCTGACATTTCCTGTATTTTTAAACAAAAAGACTACACTGAGAAGAGCTGCTCTAGCTAGGAGCCTCCCTTGTGAAAAACCTTTGTTTGTGGAGTTTCACCTGCCAGCATTGTATGCCACCGGACCCGATGATGAAGCTCTGACGGGCCAGGACCATGGGGCGGTAGACTGTCTGGGACAGGTTGGTCCGGGCCTGGTAGGACGCTCTTTTGAGGTCACTGGAGATGATTAATGAACCAGGGGGCAATGTCTGAATTTTAAGGGTTAACTCAGTAAGGAGGTTCTGGGGCGCGGGGGTAGTTGGGGGTGTTGGCGGAGTGGTGGCCACCACTACCCTGCAGGTAGATTGGGGATCCACCAGAGAAATGAGGGAGCTCTGAAGCTGAGTCCACTGCTCCTGCATGTGGGCGCCCCTCCTGTCCAGCCGCTTCCGCAGACGAGCCCTGTCCATCTGGGGCGGCTGCTCTACAGCGAGACTGAGGTCTGGCAGACGCAGGCCCTGTCGGTAAGGCAGTAGCTCTGCAGGAGCTGGCCGTGCAGTGGGCACAGCTGGACTCCACCGGGTGGCGCTGCTGAGTGCTGGCTGATGTGGGCTGCTGTTGGCAGAGACCTGTAAAGTTGCTTTAAGCTCAGGGCGCGAGTCTCCTGCGGCTCCCTGGACAGATCCATGTCATTCACTCCGCCTGGCTGCTGTCTTAATCAGGTTTGCTCCTCTCTTCCTGGATTAGGTGCCTGTTTGCTCTTCTCGTCCTGCTTCTGTTTTTTGCCAAAGAAGAGAGACTGTGTGATTCGCAATGGGGCGCAGACGATATATAAACTGCTTATATATAGACTGCTGACGTCAGCCTCAGGAAACGGCAACTTACTGCACAACCTCAACGTCTTCTGTTTCGTTTCCTCTGGTGGAAACGACACAGTGTGGCCTGTGTCACAAACAATCACCAAGAGAACACAATATTTGCAGAGAGACCAGGGCATGAACCATCACAAACTTTGCACACTGAATTTCGGTGATTACAGAGATAAACCTTTGGAACTGTGATAAATTACTGCTTAGTTATCATCCTAAGGCAAAGAGTAAGCAACGTATAGCAGCAATGCTTATAAATAAACCATAGAAATAACTGTTGCTGTGGATTTTCACAGAGGCCACTCTCTGTGGTCTAACCCCCAACAATGCTCGTTGGTACTTGCAAGCTGGAAGGCTGCGAAAATTAGGTTTTTTGATGAGGAGCATCTCTTAGGACGGTGCTCTCCATCATGGATGCGTTAAAGTGATGCACATCTCTTCCTACTCTCTTCTCTTCACTGAGCCAACCTGACTGGCTGGCGATGACACCAAGGACTGCCACTAGCGTTGCAGGTCTGACAGACACACACCCTGTTGGTGAGGCAGTAGCTCTGGTTCTGCAGTGGGCACTCTGCTGGCAGCCACCAGGTGGCGCTGCTGGTCCCTGCCAACAGGGGGCAGAGTCCTCTGCTGCTCCCCTGAGGTCAGGGCGGGAGTCTGCAGCAACTCCCTGGACAGATCCATGCCCTTGACTCCGCCTGGCTGCTGTCATCCCTGGATGAGGTGCCTGTTCGCTCGTCTCTTCCTGCTTCTGCTCTTTCTGCGGGCAGCGCCGTTGCGTGACTCGCTCTGGACCACGGCCGACAGAAACCCCCAGGCGCTGCTGACGTCACTCCGCTGAAACGGAAGGGTTTCAGAGTTTCGGCAGGAAACTGAAACTTTTTAAAACTTTTTTTATTTTAATAACAAAAACGAATGCGATACAAACGACAGTACACATACCATATCATTAACAGCATCAGGGGTTAAACAAGGTAAATAAAGATCAGTCCCAGCTCTTTCCAGACCGTTTCACTTTATGTGTATAATAAGGCGCAAGAATAAGTCAATTACATAATTAATGTACATATTATTTTCAATGGGATTAAAAAATAACACAACGTCCAGTTCTTTCAAAGTGATCTAGCCCGAGTTGGCCTCTTTCTTCATATGACTTTGCAAATCAGTCCAAAATGTTTTTACAACAGGACATAACCGAAATAAAAGCTGTAAGGTTTCGGCGGGAAACTGTCACGGCAGCCGTGCGCGCGCGCGTACCTGGAGCCTCTTCCCCCGAGCTCGCGCCAGGTAAAGCGCCGTCAGACTGGAGGAGGGTCGCGCCGTCTCCCGACAGACAATTTAAAAGAAAAACCCACTGACGACTCAAACAAGAGGAAAGCCGGTGGGCCCGTCTGGTTCCTGGGACTCTCCCCCGGGCTGTGTCTGTGTGACAGGGCCGGGGCTGCCCGTCTACATACCGCAGAAACTCGCCGAAATCACGGGCGGGTGAGGTAAGAGCGGTTTTGTCCGGCGGGCCTGTGCACTGCACTCTTCTGAGTGGGAAAAAAAAAACCCCGCAAATACAATACGTGTTTCTTTGGACTTCATTGAACTTGAGCAGCTCGTGTACAGAATGTGTGGAGTTAATATTAGAAACCGTATTACGGATAGCGATAAGCACAGACTTCCAGTGGCGTATAAATGCCTTTATTTCTTAAAACAGTCAAGAGAAGTGCGATTTCTACGTCGCACAGGCCGTTTTGACTAAAATATCTCCTTTCATGGAGAGTTTACATTTACGGCGCTTCCAAGTTAATGTCGGAAGTTGCTGTCCACAGGTCTCTCCAGCCTCTGGTCTGCTTGGTGCTCTGTAACGGTTTAATCTCTGTGAGCCATTTCGATACCGGTAAGCAGAGTTTTCTTCCGCCTTGTCAAGCGGAGAGAAAAAAAAATGCACCAGGTTTAGGCTCTTGAGCTTTCTTAACACACCTGAAATCAGTTCCAAATGATAAATTATTTAGTAGGAATCATTGCCGCCATTATGGGAAAAGTCCTGAGTTATTTTGTAATTATGAGGAAACTGACGTCGTTATTATGAGATAGTACATTGTCGCGTACTTCATGCGATCATGAGGCGATAGCCCAGCTGTCATACAGCACGTCCATCATCATTAGCTGACTTTCATTTTGAAGCAGTACAGCCCGGTCTGTTTTAAGGACACCTGTGAGCGTCCCCCTGGTTATAATTGTGTAATAACATTTCATTCTGAATGAACCCCAGGGGAAAGTCAGTCCGGACACATCCTGCTGGGTACTGGACACTACACCCACAGCTCCAGCTGAGCTCTCTGCACCTTCCAGGTGCTTCCCTGCACGATACAACAGATTGTTCACGTACTTAAATGATCATTGTGTCATAACGATGTAACTGATTTATAAGGCACCTTTCCAATCCCAAGGATGATAAAGAAAAAGACAAAAAAAAGTACAATTAAAAGTAAAAAAAAAACAGGAACATAAACGATAGCGTGTAGAGCAATCCCACCGAGTGAAAAGGTGAGTTTCGATTTTGGATTTGAAGATGAATCAGAGAATTCGTCTCTCAGAAACCTGAGAGTTAGTCCTGGGTACAGCAAGCGGAGGAGCAGCCTCAGCTGAATGGAGTGTAGGGGAGGGAGTGCTAACATGGAGGAGTACAGAGAGGTATGACGGAGCCAGATTACTGACAGCGTTGAAAAAATGTAACAAGTTCTTGTACTGAACACGTGACTTTATAGACATCTGATATAGAGGCAGACTTCTATTTTTTTTCAAGACGGTAGATGTTCGATTATCTAAACTCATTGTGACCAGAGCTAGTTTGCATAGTCAGTTTGGATAATTGATCAGTCATCAGATAATGTCATTGATAATGGATAGAATAAACATTGCAGAAAAACTTGGCATGTCATCAGAGACTGATAATGTATTGCTCATCAACCTGTCTTTTCCGCATTAAGAATCTAAGACTGCAAGTACCTGTAGTGCGCAACAGATGGGTCTAAGTCAATATTTGCTTAAGACACACGTCTCATTTCATTGGGTTTCACCAACAAAACCAAGAAACCTTTCCAAAAAAACTTTTTTTTTTAATCGAAAATAGACAACTGGAGCTTCATAAAATCATTTTCTGATCAATCGATCACAATAGCACTTTTTATCTGATGATGCACTTCAGCAAGAATCAATAAGCCAGAAAAACGATGGGAGTCTGAGATGGAAGAGACTTCCAGTTCAGAGTAGAAAACCCAGGTAAGTAGCTAAAGGCAGGAAAAGCAGTGTGTAATAAACTGGACCACAGCCTGACCAACTTTACACAGAGGGTGGTGGGGGTGTGGAACAAGCTTCCCTGCTGTGTTGTTGGAGCTGATAACCCATCAGGACAGGAAGCACTACTTTACACAAAGTGTTGTAAAAGCCTGGAACAAGCAGCCCGGCTATTCATTTCGCACGTTATGGTATTCACTCATGTGAGTGTGAGCCATGCCCTCGGGTCGCAGGTACGAGCGGTGCACTATGGGAGGTGCCGCCTCAGCTATGATGTTAACGTAAACAATACAGTTTCAACTGTTGACGCACAATACGGATTTCCCGAATCATAGCAATTCTGTGAATCAGGCTGCGGGGTGACGAAGGGAAACAGGGGACCAGACAGGCCCACCTGCAGTGTGCACAGCTCCCTCTTGCTCTGGCTGTTGGTTTCATCGTAGAAGGAGAGTGCCGCCCTGCTGGTGTCCAGGCACACCCCCAGTTTCGATGGGGAAGCTCTTCCCAGTATTGGGGTCATGCACTCTGGGCGGACAGAATACAGCTGACTGCCAATACACTGCAGCCCCAGTTCCATCCTGCTGTTTGTTGTAAAGTCTGTTTGCTGCTTGGAGGTCACCCCAACGGTCCAGCCACATGCAGTGGGAACCTCCACCTGCCAGTGGTGCATGCCGGTGGAAAAACTCTGGGTGCACAGGACAGGGTGGCGTCGGATCTTGAGTGCCTTCTTTCGGTTCAGAGAAGTGTGGTACAGAGTTTTCAGGTTGGGTGAAAGTCTCATGTCAGGACCCAGCGTTTGCTTGTCGAAGGTGAGCTGGGCCGGCACGCCGCCACCCGGAGACGCGGGGTTCACCAGCGTTAGCAAGGCCCTCAGCCCCCGCGTCAGCTCCCCCTGCGCCTGGGTGCAGCCGCCCTCCAGCTCTTTCACCAGCTTCGCTGTGTCAAGCCTGTGTGCCGCTGGTTGGCACAGGCGCATCACTTTCGCCGCCGCCACTGCTCGCTCCGCAGCCAGGAACTTCTGGATGAAGAGGAAGGGCTCCTCCTCGGCCAGGGCCTCCTGCCCCGCGCTCTGGGCCCCCCTGAGCTCCTCGGCCCGCGCCGTCAGCGCTCGTAGCTCGTCCTGGAACGCCGCGTCTTGGCGCTGCTGCTCCCCCACAAGGATGCCCAGCACCTGGGCTTTGTAGCGCGCCGCCGCCTGCATGGCCTCTTCCAGCTGGGCCTCGGCCTTCTGCTGCAGTTCGGCGCCGGCGGCCCTCGCCGCCTCCTGCCTCGTGGTCTCGGCGGCCAGCAGCTCCTTGCTTCGCTGCAGTTTGGCGCTGACCTCCTGCAGGTCCCCTTCTAGGCCCTTGACCAGCTCCTTGCGCGCCGTGGGGAAGCTCCTCATGTTGTGCTGGCGGTGCGGGCCCTCGATGGCGCAGGAGACGCAGGCGCAGGCCCGGTCCGCGTAGCAGTAGTACTCTAGGAGTTTGCCGTGCTCAGGACACTTGCGACTGGCCAGGTCCCGGGCCGCAGTGGGCTCCGCCAGGGGGTGGGTCCGGATGAGGGCTGGCGTGCTCAGGTGTGGCTGCAGATGGGCGGCGCACATGGAAATCTCACACTTCAGGCAAGTCTTCAGGGCCGAGGTGGGGCCGTCCAGGCACATGTCGCAGAGCACCGCCGTGGAGCCCGGCCTGCGGTCGGCGGCGCGGAACCGGTCGACAATGTTGCACAGCTTGACATTCCTCTGTAGGGCTCCCAAACCCGAGTGCTTGCTCCGGCACTCCGGGCAGCTGTGCGCCTTCCCATCCTCCCCAGCTGCTCCCGCTCCCCCTACCTTCTTGCTCTCCACCACCGCCTGGATACAGGTGAAGCAGAAGCTGTGCCCGCAGGGCAGGGAGGCAGGGTCAACGAGGGTCTGCAGGCACACCGGGCAGGTCAGCTCCTCCTGGAAAAACTCTTCTGGCTGGGAAAGAGCCATCCGCTCGGCAGTTTTAATCACACTCCGTTCCAGACTCTCTTTTCCCAGTTCCCTCTGTGTCCCTTGCTGCGTCTCTCTTTTGGGCTCCAGCCCGTTCTTCTCGGGATCTGCTGCCAGAGAACCAACAAGCAGGTTCAGATCGTCAAGCAGCAGCAGGAACAGCTCTTCCGACGCCCAGCAAATCTGCCTTCAAAGAAACGATCAGGCTTCACTTCAGACTTCAGACAGATCTTGTTTGCCTTTCATAGACAGCTTATCAGCCCGAGGCTGTAAATCGTTCAGCTGCGCAGGAGGACTGCTGCACTTCCTGGCAGCACACCCAGAGCTCCTCCTTCCGTCCCAGAGCCCCGTGAAGCAGAAGTGGCCTTAAAGAGCCAGGAGCGTGCTGCGCACTGTGAACCGGCAGCGTCTGCTTTCAGGATTTAAAATAAGAGAGAACTTTCCTAGGTTCTTTTGTCTTCGTTAGAGGCGTTTGAGTTATACAGTGGACAGCATTGCTGTCTTGCAGCACTGTGGCCCTGCGTTCAGCCCTGGACCTGGGGTGCTGTCTGTGTGGAGTGTGCATGTTGCTTCCTCTGTGTGCGCTGTTCCTCCCCCCCCCCTCCCAGTGGAGATTAACCGAGAACTCGATGGAAATGGAAAGGCTGTGGGTTCAAATTGCAGACGAGACACTACTGTCTGCACCCTTGAGCAAGTGACTTCACCCAGCGTCCCCGTAAAATACCCAGCTGCATGAACAGGTGAAAGTGAGACTTGCACCTGTGCTTTTGTGCCTGGGCACATGTATGTGCATGTGAGTGTAAATAAGTAAAGTTTTAGTCAACTTAAAGTGATTTAAATTGAATTTCAGTTGATTAGACTAAATTAAGATTGTGTGATTTATAGTGAAACTATATCTACAGTAATAGACTAGTCAACCTGTGGAGGTTTTGCAGTAAGTTGTTTCTTGAGGCGGAGTCACACAAACGAGTTAAAGTGAATGTGTAAAATAATTTCTGTGCACTGTACTGTCGCCTTGCCCCCGCAGGAAAGGCATGAGTGTGCCAGTGTGTGCTTGTGTACGTGTGTGCATGTGAGTGTGCTAGTGTGTGTGTGCATGAGTGTGCATGTGAGC